TTTTCCTGTTGGTTTCCCTTGAAAACCAGCATTTTGGGAGTACCATCCCAAAAAATGAGCCACCCACTTGGGGGTTTTGCCCAGACAACCGAGGCTGCCATATGACACGACTGATGGACGTCACCTCCATCGTCATATGAAGAAAGGCCAGGTGTGTTTCTGTAGGCTCGTTACCATTTTTCGCGGGTGGGGTTTCAAGGGAAAGCCAAAAAGAAAACTGAAATTCCAACTTTGAGGGGTAAACAAAGCCAAATATGCACCCCTAGTGGAAAGGGATCTAAGTACACATTGCACTAGGTTGCAATAGAGGATATGCCGGGAAAATGCCAAGACTAAACATCCCAGGATGCTTGGTTGAGCGCCTGGAGCACAGATCAGTCAGACGTTGATATGAACGAGTACCATTGGGAGACCCGTGGGTGCATCTTCAAGTCGTAGGGGTGCAAGACAGTATGCGCGTTGGGGATGGGACCTTGCCATGGGGCCTCTCCCGTTGGAATGTTGCTCAAGACTCGACACACAGATAAATGTCTCAGCCAGATGGGCCTCATTGTCCACAATCTATGGAAGACCTAAGGGACAATGAGGCCATGGTTCTGTGCACATTGAGTCACGTCTGCCTCGGGTTGCAGGTGTTCTGTGTAATTAATTTGCTGACTTTGCTGGCCATGCTCGGTAGTCGGTAGTGCTTGTCAACTTCCGATCATCGGCCTTTGGTGTTCGCTTTGGCAGAGGGAATTGTCAAAGGAGATAAGATAGCTACAAGTATCATCCTTTTGAAAGGCGGGACGTATGTGTCATCATCGTCGTCGTCGCCGTCGTCGTCGTGGTCGTCGTCTCTTCTCCATCATCATCAACATCATCGTCGTCATCATCATCATCATCACCATCATCATCATCCATCATCACCATCATCATCATCATCATCATCATCACCATCATGTTCTGTGTGATCCGCCGGGTGCAACACCTCCGATATTTATACGCCAGCAAGGCTAGTCTCGGGGCACACCACACCTGTGCAACAACACGGGGCCCTGACGGCTGTCAGCACTGCTCACGCTCCGCTCTGTGTTTGCCAGCTCCATTTTTTGGAGCACTGCCAGACCTTGCAGTTGTTGCACACAAGGGGCATGTGGCATTTCCATTGCCCTGCAGGCTGCGGGCGAACATAACCCTATGAAGGCAAAGTCTGCATTGCCGTCTGCTTCCCGGGCAAGCTTGCATCGCTACCGTAAGCACGCAAGGGCCTTGCATGATGGCAAGCTCTGGTTGAATGACGCAAAGCATTCAGGAAGCGGATGTTGTAAACGCTTTCATGCGCCACTTTTGGACCTATGCATTCTTTGCACGTAGGATAGTGCCAGATGGCTTAACAATCTGCCAGTTACCTCCCTGCACATAGCTCAATGTGGTGAAAGTATACACTGACACATTTCGGCTCATTAAAGGCCCGGCGCACTGAATTGCTGACGCTGTCAAAATGCTGCGCGGTAGCTTGCATCACCCTGTACGGCATTCTGCCTTGGCCATCGGCCCGCTTGTTGCGAGGATGGGGAATTGGAGCACATATTCAGATCATTTCGAGCATGCGGCCAAGTTTGTCACACTTATTACCTTGAGCTTTGTTGGTGTTTTGCCTGGCATTATTGAAGTTGAAAGGTTTGCATGATCTTTTGCAAGCCAATTTGAGTCAGCCAGTGCTGTGACCTGCTGGCAACTTTCAGAGGAATGCACGTTTATATCGCGGTGATCATACTGTATTCACAATATCGTCGCAGTTCGGCGGCATTTGTTGTCAGTCAAGTTGGGCGACCAGTAGGATTGCCCATGGCATGAATCGCTGTCATGTTTACCTTCTTGATTTAAAGCTGTTCTGTTTTTTTTGCAAATGGTTTTGTCATTGCAGCTTTTGCATTTTGCATCCCCAGGCACACATAGCCCGTGGACCGGGCGGAGTGGAAAGCGGGCGGGGGAATCTTGGCGTAGTGGATAGCTCACTGGCGGCCATTCCCGCAAGACCTGATCTGCAGGTAAGCCTTTTGTCAGGGAGACCAACTAGGGATATAGGGGGGAACCAGGGATAGGGGAAGATTCCCCCATGCACCTTGACAAAGTTTGATATAAATATGGGAAATGGCGCCAAGGGCATCCCCCCATATCCCCGCTCGTATCCCCGCTTGTTTGTTTGTCCAATTTTTCGCTGGACCGATGTGCTCAGAAGCAAATTGACGCCAGGGGAGAAAGATCGGGTGCACGTCTACAAAGGAGAGATTGCCACCGATGATGCGGTGCCTTGCCGGGGGTTGGGAAGGGACATCCTGGAACATGGGCCAGATTCTATTCTGTGCAGCGGAGCATCAACCAATGAACCATTTATCATTTGCCCCTCTAGATCGGCTGCACGCTACCAATTCGAGTTTTGCTTGCAGCTCAGGGTCTGTGCAGTCTGAATGTTTCAATCTCAGCGTTTTGTGTCAACTCGTTGGGCCCGGGCTTATTATGTTCCCCTGTTTTTCGAGACGGTTTTTGCGTGCAGTGGTGTGTCCAGCCAATGGGTTTGCCGGTCCTTACCGTCGTCGGTAAGGCCATCGCTCCGTCGCTCGAGCCAACCCTACACCTGCTGAAGTCAGCCTAAACCCACCCGAACCCCAGAAGCCCCTAAACCTAGCCCCACCCAAAATACCTTGAACCTTTGCGTTCGAATCAGTGAAACCTCTGCGGCTATGCATCACTGGCCTGCCGAACCTGGGACAAAATTCAAATCCATCCGAGGTCCGCCCACCTTCCTTTGCCTTCGTTTGGGCGGGTGGTGGTGGTGTTGAGACCATTGTGATGTGTGAATTAACAATTTAGCCTTATTAGTGTGAAGTGTATATTGTGATTGTATGCTTTCATTCATGTTCTATGTCCCTGCAATCATTGCAGGACACGAAGGTGTCTGCAGCAATTTTAATAAGAGCCCGGAGCGGCTCATCCTGCACTTGACTGCCGTCGAGGTGTGGTATTTATGCACCACCTCTCTTTTGGAAGCCCATGGACCTGTGGGGTGCAATGGAAAAGTGAGATACCGCCAAAGAATGGTGGCTCTTTGGAAGTCCTTGACCCTAAAGCCCGAAGCCCGACGTTCAGGTCTACAACTACCCCAAGGCCATGCGCGAATCCAAGTTTCGCCGCTCTGCCGCGCGTTTAGAGAGGTGATGGCTTCTCTGTGTCGGCTTCACACAGAGTATGCTCCTGGAGTATGAATGTTGCTTGTTACACACCAGTGTTTTTGTTTGGTAAAAAACAAAAAACAAAATAATTTATTATGCGGCTTCCAGGGTCTGCGTGACTCCGGCGGTTCTTCATTGCGGCTTGCCCGATGACACTCAGCTTTTCAGGACGCTTGAATCGAGCCGAGGCTGCATAAGGCTGCTTAGCGGTTCGTTCCAAGAATAGCGCTCTCTTCTTCAAATGGCGGATTTGTTTCCCGCGGTTTGATACGTAGCAGCATGTCATCGCGTATTGCAACAAGTGCTACTGGAGGTAAAATAGTGCAGTTAAAGGCTAAGCCAAAAGTCAATTTCAGCCCGTCATGCTTACATGAGGTTGCGTTAGCATCATCACATCAAGAATGGTCACGGACCCATGTGCGCGCTGAAGGTGTGCGCTTGGGATGTTTAACCCCCATATGAATAGCAAAAGTGCTTTGGATGGCCGTGATGCATGTTGATTCCATGTTAGCAACATCGTCCAGAGTCCAAAGTATAGCCTGCCCTTTGCACGGGTTATGTACTGCACACGCATGTTTGCTTGGTGCAACGATGATGTCTCTGACCTGCAGGATCAAGCGCGGATCAATTCGGCGGGGGGGGGGGGGGGTTGGGTGGGAATATGGTTCCTGTGGGTTTGCTCGAGTCTTTGAGGAGAGGAGAAGAACTTCAAGTACAATGTAGGTGCGGCTGAGCCCAGGGCTGTGCGTTGCGTGTCTCGAGTCGACTTCAGCACAACATGGGGCGTTGCCAGAACGGTAGCCTCCGGACTCTCGTTAAAGGCAGTTGGTTCTAGAAGCAACATAGCAGACACTCGAGTGCGACTCTTAGGCCGTGTTTGTTCAACCAACGAACCGCGTGAGGATTCGTCTGATGTTGGGCACTGCCTTGACCATTCTGGGCACACGCTATGGGCATGCTTTCTCCACTGATAAGGAGTGTTGAAGGTGTGTCTATACATATCTCATATCAGTGTTGTTGCTGCTTGCAGGAGTTGGATAGAAGACACGTTGCTTGATTGTGTAAGGCTTTTCAGGAAGCTCAGCGATGAGATTTCACTTTTCGGATTTCGGACTCGGTATGTTGCGGGTTTATCATTTCTGCGTGGCAGTTCACTTAGAAACACAACTGATGAAGGCTTTTCGTTTTATGATCTTATATGGCCCAGGCCCTTATCAAATAGGCGCGCCCCCCTTCGTGGGGATTCTACTTGTCGGCAGCTTGTGTTGGGTGCAACGTATAACAATATGGCGAACAAATGCGACAAGTGCCTGAGAGTCGCGTGCCTCGAGCAACTTCAAGCCATGGTCACAAGATGCATGAAAAGCATACAACCAGCTGTTATGGGCTTGCGACAATCACATCAATACGGAACCAGGTCTAACAAGTCACCCTACATGCTTGAGTGGTTATCTGACAAGGGGGTTCTATTTGTTGAGCAACATGTTGGCAGGGTTGCTACACAACACTTGACAATTTGCTTGATGAGATTGCGGCAGCTTTCTGCCATCAATCTCTCTACAATGTGTTTGTTTCAAAGTTATGCTGGATCCCCTTGCATGAGATGCACATTGGTGCATTGGCTTCCCTGCGAGACGCACATATTTGTATTCATAGCATTTCTCCTGCCCCCATTGCGATTTGAGTGGTTGGCGGAGGCAAATGTCGAGCGCATTGTCTGTTTGGAGCTGGGTATACCTTGATGTAATTAGAGTCAAAGCGGCAGCAATTTTGCCAGGTCATAGCTCGCGAGATTTTGAAAGAGAGGCAGCTGAAGTCTTTTGTCGCTTCACTTGGAGTTCACAACCAGGCGGCAGATGCCCCAAATAAATACAGTTTGCACCCATCCAGGCAATCCCTGGCAGCCTTTCTCTTGTGATGTTTTAGCTGCGTGCCAGGCCTCTCTATAGCGAACCTGTTCCTGCGCATTTTGGGTGACATCCAGGCTGGGGAGCCAGTGTGACAGGCCAGAGGCACAGCATGGCGCAATGGCGCAGCCCAACTGCCCGACTGCGCGCTCTGGGCAAGAAAGTCACTGAACAGTAGCTGAACGGGTAGCTGAACAGCAGGCAAAAATCCCGGATCCAGAACAGACCGTTTCTGTTTGGTTCGAATTGCGGGCAATCACTTGCGCTCAGAGCCTATGTCTCCGTCATTTCCCGAACGAGAGGGCCGGCTCCTCAAGGATGCACGTGGTGCCGGTGCGAGCATTCAGAACTCTGGTCCCCACAGCACGATCAGGTGGAGGTCCCCCAGTAGTGCCCTTTTACCATTTCTTTTTTGGGGGAGGGTTCCCCTATGTTCCCCTACTAAAATCGACTACAGAAAAAGGACACCCTTATTCTAACCTCTCTACTGAAGGACCTAGTTGTGCTTCCCGCAAGAAACAACGCCTTAAGGCAACTGGACCACACCCCATTCGAACAGCAAACTAGCGCCGCCGAACATACTTGAGTCCCTTTCAGGTGTCCAAGAGCTTGATTTCCCATCAATAGTGTCCCATTAGACCAACACCCCACAGCTGGTGGCTGTTGCTGTGGGTGTCATGCTGGCCGCTCACCGCTCACGGGCGTTCCTGGACCATGTTTGTAGTATTTTTGGCCAGCAACAAAAGAAGCTGTTCATTTTGCTGCAACATGACAGCCTTTCCTTCAAACAGCTGAGAGGCGCTCTTCAACATCTATTTCGCCAACCACCCGGATTGGGACAACATGTGCACGTCAGGGCCCTAATGGGGCAAAGCGTGTGGACCCTGGTGCGGGCAACAAATCGGTTCGTCGGTGCCGCGCTGAAAGCACTATTTATTATAAGACAAGGTGGGTGATAGAATGTCATTAGTTGTTTTCGTTCAACAGGATTTTGATAAGTGCATCCCCGCTCCCCGCGCGTGCAAGGAGAGTCTCATTGCCTGTGGTGAGGCTCCAGGTGTTGCTTTCCCTGAGACTCTAGTCGAGATGCTGTTTACCTAGGACTAGATTGACTAGAGCACTGCCGGAAGTTTGTTGTTGCACCGAAGACTGCAGCTTGACGGAAGAGAAACGACTCCTCAATCAGCGCATTGCATTGGACGACATTCAATCCTGTCGCAGTTCTGGCAGAGCCATGCCTGCAGGCATACAACGGCATACACATGAGCGAAGTTACTCTTGCCAGCTTAGCAGACAGCCGTGCACTCCACTCATGCACTTGTCCAATGCTTGAAGAAAGCAGCACGTTCAGGATTCGATAGATTCGAGCATCCAGCACTGAACTGGAGATCGCAAAGTCATTGGCAACCTCAGGACTAGGAAGCACAAGGGCATTCATGTTACGCTTGCTACAGTAGTCGGCTTAGGTTGGGTGAATTGAGCAGCCCTGCTGGTTTTGAACACAAGGCTGCGCCCCCATATGATTCTGCCCAGACAGCAGCGGCACCTTGTTCAAAATCTTCCGTGTGTGTGTCTGTGTGCAAGTCTTAGTCAATGCAGCGTTACTGCCTTTTGTTGGCTTGCAGCATCGAACATGCCGCACTGGGTGGTACTAAAGCTTCGTCCGCGGGCCAATTTGTGTTGCGCAGCTTCATTGAACGGGGCCTTAGGGCATCGCACCTTTGGCAATTTCAGGCATTCTGTTTCATTTTGTTGCGTGAAATGCTAAGGGTATGATGCATTTGACCCTACACAATTGATGACATGTGATGGCAAGCACGATGCCTTCAGGACCTTAACTCAATTCACAGCTTGAAAGCAGCAAACCTTGGCCAATGGGATGTTTGAGGTCTTTGCCCGCGCGGTTCAACCTCCCATTCGAGATGGACAGAGCCCGCTCGGCGTCCAACTGGGGCCACCAAAGTAAGTCGAAGATTGGCGAGGAGAGCGATGGGCGGGTATGCAAATTACGCTCAGCTTTGGTCAAGTCGCTTTGCACATAGATGGTATAACTGAGCTGCATACCCCGAGCGATTCAGCTTTCAATCGGTCCAAGGCAGCAGTGTCTTTCCTGTTGCATCGAGATGTTGCACGCGAACAGCTGGAGCTGCCAAGGCGTCCGTGCGCAGTGCACATGTATTGAGCAGTTGCAGGCTTTTGCTGCTGGACTGTGGCTTGTACGCTGCACTCATTTCTACATTTGCGAGCCGGAGCTGCTATCTTGCAAGTGGATTGCGGCTATGCGAGATTTTAACATGTTCAAGCCGGAGCTGCCAAAGTGCTCCAGGCACAATTTCTACACTACCACACTTGTCCTGAAAACCAACTGGGATTTTCGAGCCGGGAGCTGATGAAGCAAACTTTGTGTACTACACTTGCACTGAACAGTTGCGCTTTTACCCAACATCAATGCGAACCGTAAAGGGCAAACTGTGTAAGAGGTTTCAGGGTACGGCAACAAAAAAGTGGGTTCTGATGCCACTTCTTATCTCTGTGCTCTCGCGCAATTGCCACTACACACAGCTTTCTCCACAGTTTCAGCCACGCTGTCCATTTGCCACCTGGATGCTGAAAAAACAATTCCCATGTCAAGTGCACTGGTTCTATCGGATGGCCTGAATGCAACACCCAAGTGATCTGGCGCTGTCGTTTTGGTGCTCCCTGGGTAACACTGGGCAAATAGTTCCTTATTTGTGTATCAATACCTTTTGCGAAGGATTGACATTGTTGCTTCAGAACATTCGAAGGTGAATTTGGCTTCCACTGTAAGCATGTGTTGTTGTTTTGTTTTTCTTCCCCGAGAGCATTGCTTGTTGATGCCAAAGCATGTCATCCCTCGCCCTCACCAGCCATCAGAGTCCCTTGAGGATGACATCAAAATGAAGCCAACCCACCGCGCTGCGGAGTCTGTCAGCCAGCACGGTCGGCCACTCTCAGAGGATGATGAAGCCATGCCACCTGGCACGGAGAACAGCCGCCAGCCTTGGTTTGCGGTGAGACTGCCAGCACTTGGGGTGTTCAGATGGAGTCGCAGGTGCCCCATAGCCGAAGAGAACCCAATCTTTGGAATCATGGTTTGAGGATAAAACTGTCCTAGACGCTGGGGGGTCCTGCGTTTGTTCTCGGTTCTGTTAGTTATTGGCTGGTGCGTTGTCCACTCGCTTCCTGGACTGCTACTGTTCGTATGTTTATCAACCGGTGGCCGTTTGACATGGCATGATCCGGTCCTTATCTGAGAATTTTCTCTGTTGAGAGGCCGAGAAGGCGTAACCCATGGAACGGCTCAGGATCATGGAATGGCACTGGGTGGCCAAGCCCCGGTGGCTTCACAAGAAAGAGACCCGCGCGCAGTTCTTCTTTCAGACGCCTCCGGTGCATGGCAAGGATCGTGGCGTTGCCTGAGACGTCGCGAGCCGCCACCAAGCAAAGCGGACACCAACTGTTTGCAGAGGAATGGTCACGGATTCCCATGTGTGCGTGTTGTTTCCACATTGAAATTTGAGCGGACAGGAACACGCAACACAACACAACACACAGCCAACACACGCAACACACACACACCACACACAACACAACATACACACAGAGCACACACACAACAAAACAAACTACAACAACACGCTACGCACAGCAAGAACACAGCATTACACACTACACACTACACACAGCACATAACACACAGCGAACACACACACACACACGGAACGCAACACACAACGCACACACATACAAACACACACACACAGACACACACACACACACACACACACACACACACACAGACACAGACACAGACACAGACACAGACACACACACACACACAGAGACACGCGGCGCGCGCGCCGCGCGGCCGCGCGCGCGCGCACGCGCGCGCGCACGCGCACGCGCGCGCACGCCCGCGCACGCGCGCCTGCGCGCGCACGACGCGCGCGCACACACACGCACACGCACACGCAAACACGCACGCACCCACTTACGCACCACACCACACACACCACACACACACAACGCGCGCACACACACACACACACACACACACACACACACACACACACACACACACACACGCCCGCGGGCAAGCGTGCGCGCGCGCCGCGCGCACGCGCACCCGCACACGCGCAATCGCACGCGCACACACACACACACACACACACGCGCACGCGCACGCCTTCGCGCACGCCCGCGCGCACGCGCACGCCTGCGCGCACGCCCGCGCTCACGCGCACGCCTGCGCGCACGATCGCGCGCACGCACACGCACACGCACACGCAAACACGCACGCACCCACGCACGCACCACACCACACACACACACACGAGCGCGCACACACACACATACGCGCACACGGACAATACACACACACACACAGACACACGCACGCACACAACACGCACGCACAGCACGCGCGCAACACACGACGAACAAACGTGCAACAGCGCAAGAAACAGCAATTGACACACCCGTATACACACACAACGCCGAACCCAGGACCAAGCAAGAGGCAACACGCAGCGCTCACTACACACACACACACAGCACTCTTAACACAACACACATAAAGCACACACACGTGCAACACACACACAACATACACACACACACAACACACACACACAACCCACACAACTCGCACAACTCGCACAACACGCACAACACGCACACCACGCACACGCACATGCTGTAACAAACAACCCAGACAGCACACCGCACACGTACCACACACGCACAATTCAGGCAAAACACGCACGCACGCACGCACGCACGCACGCACGCACGCACGCACCCACCCACGCACGCACGCACGCACGCACGCACACGCACACGCACACGCACCCGCACCCGCACCCGCACCCGCACCCGCACCCACACCCACACCCACACCCACACCCGCACGCACGCACGCACGCACGCACCCACACACACACACACACGCACGCACACGCACACACACACACACACTGGCGCGCCCACACACACACACACCAATGCACGCACGCATGCACGCACAAACACACGCACGCGCGAAAGGAAACACGCAACTGCAGGCACGTGGTTGCACACAACAAACTCACTTGTGCGCCATCCGGGGTTTTGTATGTTTTCTTGCAAAGAAACAAATCAACGTACGATAACATGCATGGATACTTTGGGCTTAAGGCTATCTTGAGGTCAACCAATCAACCAAACCCGCTCTTTCACAAGGAACTTGGACACTCGCAGTCAAGATGCGTGGGCACGACAACCATCCTGAGAACTTGCCACAAAACATCCAGCCAAGCCTAGGACATCCTAGGACAGGCTGTGGATAGGCCTCAAGAGGCTTTGGGCAGTTATGTAATATGAGGTCTGTAGGTCCACAGTCCTGAGGGTCCATATCATGGCCAGAGCGGTTGTTTGGTTTACATCCCATACAAACTTCTAGCTTGGGGGACAATCCCGCTTTCAGCGGCCACCACAGGATGGCTGGGCTACCGCAGATGTGTCGCAGCTCAACGCGGTGATGTGGCCCCACGTTTGGTGCGAACTCATCGAGCAGGACCTGTTGGACCTTGAACATCTTCGATCGGCGGATATGAGACCGTTTTTGTAAAGACACATTGCTTACATCCAGTAAACCCAGATTTTGCACGCATGCAGGGCCAGCACAAGTGGACCATGACGTGCATGCTTGCATCAGCAAGCCAAGTTGCGCAAAAGTGCTGATTCTGCTGATTGTGGCAAAGGAATGGGATCTCGGATAGTCCAAGAATGCTAGTTGTGCGATGTTTTTTCTTTTTCGACAGATGCTCTATCCTTGACACACTGGAATGGAGCATTTGAGGGAAGCTGAGGCTCACGAGGGCAAGCAATGTGGGAGCAAGAATGCTCAGTGCATTAACAGCCTTCCTGCAGCCAAAGCACTCATTCCGGGTTCCCAATTGCATTTGGGAATTGCCAAGACCGAATGCTCCAAAGTGTGTTTTTTTCCACTTGACCTGGCCCGATTCGCAATTGAGCAGCGATGGTCCTGACTTGCGAAACAGCAACGAGCAACCATGCCGACAAAGGGGTTCCTTGCAACAACCTGTTGCAGCACGACACCATTATTGTTGTGCTACAGGCTACAGTATCATGTGGATACTGGAAGAATGCCCTTGCAATTCAAGCATCGCCATGATAGCAGATGACATGGCACATGTGCATTGATTCTAACTTTATCATGTCCTTGCTTGCATGTTGCTGGTTGATGTGTGTGGCCTGAACTTCCTGCCTGCCCCTTTGGATGCTCTCTCAGGACTGGAGCACGTATGCGCCCAACAAGACCAAGAAGGATGAACGAGGCTTGTAGACACGGCTCAGTCATCCGCAAAGGTAGGTTGGCCAAACCGCTAGGAATGTCAGATAAAACCCGCAGCTTGTGGTGCCAAAGCTTTTTGCTTCGGCGAAACATGAGTTCGCCTGTGGTGCAGTATTGCAAAACCCTGCAAAACCATGGCTTGAACAAGTATCACAGCCCAAACATGTTTGAACAAACATTGCAAGAGCCACAAATGACTCAAATGACCAGCTCGCCTGCCAAATTTCAAAATTCTAAACAATACAAATTCTTGGGTCGCGGATGGCTCGGTTTTTAGGGTCCAGATGACGATAGTGCCTCGAGAGTATACCCTGCTTTTCGGGTCGCAGATGATGTGGCGTGCGGTGTCCGGTATGTTTGGCTAGTCCTGCAAGGTTTCAAGTGTGAACCCAGGTTGCATTCTGCCCCGTCGCATGTGCACAATCGTTTGGTTGAGTGGATGTGTTTTGTTGGGTAGAATGGGTGTTCCCATGGGCGCAGGGAGGGAGGGGGGGAGGGCTTTGTGTTCGCTGCGGCATGCTGCTGTTTGACCATTTGGCCAGGCTGGAGATACATGTCCCAGGAGATCAAGATCTTGACTCGCCTCGTCTTCAACGCACCTGCTGCAGCCACCTGACACCAGCTTTTCCAGCTTTGGGTGCACTGGATTCTGGGCAATGCGATCGAATCGTGCGCTTGGAAGAGGGCTGGAAGGAGCGAAATGCCCGATACAGCAGGGCACCCTGCGCAACTGGAGCCTCTTGCCAATCGCAATGCCTTGAATTTGATGAGCCCTGGCTTGTAAATTGGCGGGGCAGAGCTTCCGGCCGGAAGGATTTGTCAACGGGACATGTGAAAGAGCGGCAAGCTGGAGCTTCAGGCCCGCTTTGAAGGCATACTTGAAGCTGTACTTGCTTGCATCTCCACAAACTTAACGGGTTGAGCTTGTGCAGCTGTTGCAGTTTGGCTCCATCCGGCATTTGGGTGGATTACACATGTTGAGATCGTTTGAAGTTTGAGTGAGATGTGTGTTGTGTGTACACACGTCGTGTCTTCTTAATTTGTCAAAGTGCCTTGTACTTTGGTAGGCAAGTTTGTGCCGGAGTCCCACTTGAGGCTGCCCTTATTTGCCCGTAGACAAGTTGGCTGGTGATGTGGTGCGTTCACTGCTCCGCTTGAAATGAGAGAGCATTCCATGTCAGATCTCCCAGCAGAGGTTGCCCCACTTCTGGATCACCACAACCTCCACGAGCAAGGCAAGCGCGTTCTCACGATGCTTCTTGACACAAATAACTTCTGTTCTGATGTCATCACTTGCATTGATGGCTGAGGCTCCGTTACGCACGCACCCAACCCCACCTACCCGTCCATCTAACTCTAATACCCGAGCCTACCCCGCCCCCCTTCACCCCAACCATCTGCCCACACGGACGCACATACAGAAACGCGCACACACACACAGAGACGCACACACACACAGACAGACAGACAGAGACAGACAGAGACAGACAGAGACAGACAGAGACAGACAGAGACAGACAGAGACAGACAGAGACAGACAGAGACAGACAGACAGAGACAGACAGACAGACAGACACACACAGACACACACAGACACACACAGACACACACACACACAGACACACACACCCACCCACCCACCCACCCACCCACCCACCCACCCACCCACCCACCCACCCACCCACCCACCCACCCACCCACCCACCCACCCACCCACCCACCCACCCACCCACCCACCCACCCACACCACCCACGCACGCACGCACCCACCACGCACACACACACACACACACAAACACACAAACACACAAACACACAAACACACACACACACACCCACACACCCACCCACCCACCCACCCACCCACCCACCCACCCACCCACCCACCCACCCACCCACCCACCCACCCACCACACCCACGCACGCACGCACGCACGCACGCACGCACGCACCACGCACGCACGCACGCACGCGCACGCACCACCACACCCACACACACACACACACGCGCACACACACCCACACACACACACACGCGCACGCACGCGCGCACGCACGCACTGCACGCACGCACGCACGCACGCACGCACACACACACACACACACAGACACACAGACACAGAGACAGAGACAGACACAGACACAGACACAGACACAGACACAGACACAGACACAGACACAGACACAGACACACACACACACACACACCACACGCACACACGCACACCACACACGCACACACGCACACACGCACACACGCACACACGCACACACGCACACACGCACACACGCACGCACGCACGCACGCACGCACGCACGCACGCACGCACGCACGCACGCACTTACACACGAAAACTTACATCGAACATCAAACACAATCACACTCCCACCCACGCACGCCCGGCCGCACGCACACGCGCCCGCCCGCAAGCACGAGCTCACGCACGCACGCAGGCACGCTCGCCAAGGGCTTCCCTCTCCGGACACTGCGCAAAGCGGGGAGATGCAACAAATGTCGGTCAAAGTCCACAACGTTAAAGCTTTCCGAGTTTTCGACTTTTGATATTTCGTGTTTTTTTACTTTCCGTTTCTTTTTGAACTTGTCGAGTAGCCTCCCCTGTGGTTTGACTCTTAATTTTTCGACGTTTCAAGTTTTTGACCTTTGCCAGGGGATATGATTAGGCGGAGAGGTAGGGTTCCAGTCGGTCAAAGCTTTCTGCGGGGCGGTCAATCAAATGGCAACATTCTTCGTGAGTCCTGGAAAAACGAGGCGGCTGCTGGCTCAAAGAGTGCGGCCTAGCCCACTAATGAGTTTGCAGCACGGGCGGAATTCCCCAGAAAACGGCCGGAATTCCCTGAAAGGCGGAATTCCGCGGGTCGAAAAATCAGTGGTGTCCATTCTCTTTGACCAGCCTTTGAGACCATCCTTTGAGTTGCACGGCGTGACTGGCTGACCAAAAGCTTCCGGTGGATCAACAGGGTGTCTGCCAACGCCCGAGACGTGCTGGGCGGGCAAGGGAAGCACAACCTTCCTAGACCTTTCCACAACCTTTGCTGGTAAGAGGGGCTGGCTGAAAACGGCTTGTTGGTGCCTTTGAAGCGCGCGTCAGATAAAACAAATCCCAAAACACTGGCAACCATTGAGGGCAGAGCACATTGTGGGCACCAATCTGTAGCATTGCGACAATGGTGTTTTTTCCTTGCCATGAGTCCCGCCTACTTATAGCAGCACTTATAAGTTCCGCCACAGTAGCTATAAGACTAGCAACAGAGGTTATCAAGGAGGGAAGTGTCATAAGTTGAAAAGTTAGCGTACTTAGGGCGGGACTTATAAGTAACATAGGCTTTGTTCGTGAAACAAACTTTGCAGACTTACAAACTAGTTACACTACTTGCGATTCGTAATTGTTTTCAAGGGGTCCGCTCAGGGCATGCTAATCCCGTGACTCGAACATGTGCTTTTTAAGGAAACTGACGCCAGACAGAGCGACACGAATCTGCGATTTCTTTCACCAGTAGGATCAGCGCGCTGGGGACGGGGGGAGGGGGGTATAGCGATCAGCGCAGAACCCTTGTTTTCAAACTAAATGGACCCCTTCGATTCTTGCGGGCACAAATAAGAATAGATGCGCTCCAAAGAAATGTCGGCGGATGTTGGTGGGGGTCTGGGGCGCACGTGGCGGAAGAATGTCGGTGGGGTAAGAACACGTAGGATTTCAAGAGATTCGGGGAACATATTGGTGCATGTCGGTGGAACCTTAGTCCGAGGAAAATATCGAGGTTGGACATCCATACTGTAAGTTCCATAACAGCACTTTCTAAGTAGGCGGGACTCATTGTGGATCGGGCGTTTTGTTCTGCCTTTGAAGAAACGCGCGGAAAATTCTGCCAACGGAGTTTCTAGGTTTCCAGGTTTACTATTTTTTGTGGGGCTCTAAATTGCCTGTTTCGCGCCCTAAAAATCCGGGTCTGACTCTGCCCACGTGCCCAGTTTCCTTCACACGTGGTGCTTTCGTCGCAGCACGTAGCTTTTGGGGGCAAGGTGATTCGCATAACTTTTCGACTCTTTGACTATTCGACTTGTCGAATTTCTGAGGGCTTTTCGGCTTTTTGGACATGTTTCGAGTTTTTTTTCCGGATCAAAAAGACACAATTTTCATTTTATCCATGACCAGCCAGAGGATTCCACCCCGCGCTCACGCCCACCCGCGCGCCGGCCCGAACCAACACACACACACACACACGGACGCACCAACACGCACCCACACACAGACACACGCACACCATGAACGCACGCACGCACGAACGCACCACAAAGAACTTAGACATGCGGGAAGCCAACGCAGCCAGTCACTTAATGTCTAAGCCCCTGTCTACAAAGAGTGCCTCAATATCCACTAAGTCACTCAGAGTGGCTCAGAGTTTTTCATTGAACCTCGATCATGAATGACGGGAGCAAATGTGTGTCGGTGAGATAACTTGCTGACATGCCACCTGCTGAGGGGATCGTTTGACGGTCATTTAGACCAATGGGTCCTTGATGGATTATCTCGGCTCAAAAAAAAATGGAGTCTGCTTATGGCGAGTCAGCTCACCTTTGCAATTCTGAGAGAGCGTTACCATCGGCTTCCTTCAGCCTATGGAAAAACTTAGAGAAGCCCAGAGAGAGGAGACTGCTCAGCTCGCAAGGTTGTCTTGGCAAGACCCGTGCGGTCTGACTACCGAGGTTTAAGCACATTAACTCCGGGTGCTCCCGAAGGACGCGCGCGGAGTTGAACTTCCCGGCTTGTGACCTGTGACCTGCAACGAGCGCTCGGGTAAAATATATAGTTCCCAGCCATCCCCTTAGGTTTTTAGTTTTTCCACATGTGGGGAGTTCCATTTAACCCACTTATACTGCAAAGTTAGTCACTTTTAGCTGGTCTGACGGACAGCCCAGTATATAAATATTCTAGCCGGGCCAGCGAAGGCGGAGGGAAGATTTTCCAACGAGAACATAGAGTTTTCAGCACGCTTTCCCCGTCACGGGAATTCTTCTTGCTCGGTTTGTTCGCTCGCGTTCCCCCTTCTTTGCCTCTCTGTCTCTTTCTTTGCCTCTGTCTCGCTCTCTTTCCTTTTCTTTGTCAGTCTTTCTTTCTGTCTGTCTTTCTTTCTTCCTTCCTTGCTTCCTTTCTTTTTTCTTTCTTTCTTTCTTTCTTGTTTTCTTTCTTGTTTTCTTTCTTTTTGTCTCTTTCTCCTAGTCTATCTCTCGCTATATTTTCCTTGTTTTTTCCTTTCTCTTTCTCTTACCCATCTTCTTCTTCTTCTTCTTCTTCTTCTTCTTCTTCTCACTCTCGTTCTGCCTCTCCCTGTTTTTTCGTTCTTTAGTTGTTCTTTCGCCTTCTCCAGTTCTTCCCCTTTCTCTTTCTCCTTGTCTTTCTCCATTCACTTCCTCCTGTCATTTCCTTCTCACGAAAGCTATCGTTAGCTAGCTGGTGGCAATTATTTGAGCCAAAAAGATTGCAAGGGTCAATTATTAAACACCCCCCCTTCCCGGGCTCGAATCTTGCCTGGTCCACCCACCCGCCCCCCGAGTGTTGACTTGGACCCAGAAACACGGCACCTTGCAGGCAGACGTGCGCAGGCAACATGCAGAATCCAGGAGCGTTTTAAGACAGCTTGCGACGCCGCGCGTTATTTTAATTATTCGCGTTTTGCCGGGCCACCATGTCAGTTTGCATGTAGCCTCCTGAGGATCTTTAAGCTCCCGATTTTCAAGTTGTTTTTTCATCGTATTATATTTGATTATTGGATGCTTGGATTGGTGTTCATTGTCATGTGTCCTCCTTGAGACCTGAAGAATGCAGAAACTGCACCTATGGATACTGAGGCATGGTAACTCCTATCCGATTCATTGTCAGCCGGCTCGGCGTTGTAAGGCTTGAAGCAAGCATCTTGCAGCACGTGCCACCAGGCTTGTTATGTTGTTAATTCTTTTCTTAAGGCTGTCAAGATGCCAGCGCGCGGCTTCTTCTCATTACGCCAGTCCAGAGTCACAGCACCCCAGCATTTTCATTCAGACAGTCCATTTCTGACGCATGACATTATGATTCTGAATTCGTAAACTTCCGCACGGGTTCAATGTTGCATGCTGTTATCGTCATGGTTGCCCCAAAACTGACCTTCCTCACCAAGCAGGGCTTCCTTTTCCATGGGGCGAACAGCCGACAACTGGCAGGATTGAGGCGAAGGAGAGGTCGGCAGTAGAGCTCCGGACGTTGCCCTTGTTTGTCGGATGGGAGGAAGCCGCTGGAGTGCTTTGGCCGGGTTCAGGGCGCGGCGGACTTGCATAGTGTCAAGACTTTTTGACTCGTTTGCAGCTGTCTTAGTCTTTCCACGTTTTCTCATTGCCTCCAAGTTGCGGCTTTGATCTCACATCGAATGATCTGAGATTACTGTTTCACATGTTGTAGTCATCAAATGAACCGCAATCAAAACCCGGACAGATGGAGGTTAGTAAGGGGTCATCCCAACCATAACTGGGTGCAGCCGCCTTGATTCGTTGCATGGTTCTGGGGGCCATTTTCATACCAGGTTTCAGTATGACTCAATTAATCACTCTGCGGGCCCCGCCATGTAACTAGTGAAAGAGAGCCAGGCTCCCTATGCCCAAAAAAGCAAGGATGTGTGATTGATTCAGCAATCAGCTCGCGCGACAGCATGGAATCACAAATGACCCCCCACTCTCCACCCACATATTTAATCCACCAGTTCCATGCTGGATCTGATCTAGAAAGTAGACAGGAATGTGTCCTGGGCTTTGCAGAGTCTTTTCATAGTGATTGGTGGCATGAAACACAGCCTGGAGCTGAACAGCCAACACACCCTGTCACCACTACTCAAGACAATACTTATATGTCCGTGAATCGGCTGAGCTGTTAGCAAAGTTAGGGACTATACGCATTATGTGTCCGTTTAAACGTCTTTGCATCTTTCCGAGATAGTAGCGTCCTTGTAATCGTATCAGATAGATCCACTGCCAGTATTGTGGCAACATGGGGCACCTACATCACAGGGCCCGGTTTTTTAATCACGTAAAGTCATCAGCGAGGGACAGGTGGCGTCTCTGTGCCCTGAGATCTCTCAAAACATCCTGAACTTCTTTGAGAAAATTGCGACTTCCTTATGGGATGACGCTGTGCCAGGCGCGGGCAGGGCATAAACAAAGCATGTTGGGTAATATTGGTCCTTGTCCATGGCACGAGCTTCCCAATTTGTGCACGGAAGAGACGCGGAAGGGGGGGCGGAATCGGGAGATGTAGCTGCAAGTCAAGCACTGTTCCCTTTGTTTGCTTAGAAAGCAAAGACAAAAGCAAACAAGGAATTTCGCGGAAGTCGCGCGGAAGTTTCGCGGAACAGGCGCGGAAGACGAGTTTGTCCAGGCAGCCCGTTCCCCCTTCGCCCTCTTACAGTAGTCTTCCCCAAAGCAGCTACGTCCATGTCCTTGTCCGATGTGTCTGGCACCAGCTCCAGCTGCAGAAAGCTCCTGACCTTTTAAAGAAGGTTCGTGGATGCACCTTCCTCTAGATTTCGGCAGAACCTACTAAAACCTTGACCGAACACCAGTGGTAACTTGCGTGTAGATGTACAATGGCGCAGAAGGTTTGCAGACGGGCGGCGGGGCAGTTTTGAGGAGAAGAAATGTTGGACAACCCCATGTGGTTGTGTCTGTGCGAACCTGCGTGAATGTGTGTGCGTGTGTGTGTGCGCGGTTTACCTAGGGATTCGTCGCGGCAGACATTTCTGCCGCAATTCAAAAAAGGCGCCTTTTTGGATTTGCAGCAGTTCATTCTATTTTGCGGCGTTTTTGTTGAATCGCGGCAGAACTTGTTTTCTCACCCCCACGCGCCATGGCTCACAAGACAACATTTTGCGCGACTTCGCGCTTGTGACACTTGGCTCAAATACGGTTGTGCGAGCCCTTGTGCGCGAGGTTCACCCAGGAACATGAGGTGAAACCTACAAAGAAGGATCGGTATTCAACTTACTCAAAGGGGTCCAGTGGCACTGTCGCTGCTCCTTGGCGCAAAGAGCTTTTGCTTGCACAAAAGGAGCGCGATACGCCCGCCCTGCCCCAACTCAGCCGCAATCGGCCCAAATCGACGGAAATCAACCCATTGCAGCCAGTTGTTTCGCATTTTTCAGTTTGTTCCACCCACGATTTGCGTCGGAAATCGGCGGGAATGCGGCGGAAATCAGTGGGAATGCGGCGGAATTTGACGGGAATGCGGCGGAAATTCCCGAAAACACAAAAGTGGTCCCGGACCTTTTTGTCGGCCGGGGCCGAGGAAGCACTCCCCGGCCTGCATCCGCACATTTTGGGATCAACTGGCAATGTGAATGGCAAAGACAGAAAAGATCATCATCAAATCGACCCGTCTTGGCCCCCAGCTGCCTCAACTTATGAAAAGAGCGGGGTAGCAAGCTGTCCTCCGTGATAGCATGCTCGCTTTGAAACATTGTTCGGAGAATGCAGCTAGAAAGAAGCGGCGTTTGTTCAGCATTTTTGCTTGCCGGGGACACATGGAAACCTGGGATTATGCTCAGTCAGCCCGAAACTCTGGAAGCAGTGTTGCGGCGGCTTTGTTTTAGGTGCGGCGTTTTTTGCGGCTGATTTCCTGTAATGCGGCTGGAATTTCCGCCGCAATGCATTTCGGCAGAAATTTCAGCAGCCGCAGGAAGGAAGTTCCAGGTATGTCAGTAGTCTTTATGTGTTCTTGTGTGTGCGTGTGTCGTTTTATGTGTCTCCTGCGTGTGCTTGTATGTGCGTGGTATGTTTGTTGCGTGCCTTCGATTGTTGGTGTGCTGTTGGGTTTGCACGTTCCTGCGTGTGTGTGCGTGCGCGGCTTTTTGTCTCTCTTTCCCTCTCTCTCTCTCTCTCTCTCTCTCTCTCCCTCCCTCCCTCCCTCCCTCCCTCCCTCTCTTTCCTCGCACATGGGTTGCCATTGTGTGCGTGCGTGAGTTAACGTGCGTGGGTTGGCGTGTGTGTGTGTGTGTGTGCGTGCGTGTGCGTGTGCGTGTGCGTGTGCGTGTGCGTGTGCGTGTGCGTGTGCGTGCGCGTGCGCGTGCGCGTGGGCGTGGGCGTGTGCGTGCGCGTGTGCGTGCGCACGTGCGTGCGTGCGTGCGTGCGTGCGTGCGTGCGTGCGTGCGTGCGTGCGTGCGTGCGTGCGTGCGTGCGTGCGTGCGTGCGTGCGTGCGTGCGTGCGTGCGTGCGTGCGTGCGTGCGTGCGTGCGTGCGTGCGTGCGTGTGCGTGTGTGTGTGTGTGTGTGTGTGTGTGTGTGTGTGTGTGTGTGTGTGTGTGTGTGTGTGTGTGTGTGTGTGTGTGTGTGTGTGTGTGTGTGTGTGTGTGTGTGTGTGTGTGTGTGTGTGTGTGTGTGTGTGTGTGTGTGTGTGTGTGTGTGTGTGTGTGTGTCTGTGTCTGTGTGTGTGTGTAGGTGTGTGTGTGTGTGTGTGTGTGTGTGTTCGTGTGTCTGTGTTTGTGTGTGTGTGTCTGTCTGTGTGTGTGTCTCTGTGTGTGTGTCTCTGTGTGTGTGCCTGGGTGCGTTAGTGTGTGTGTGTGTTTCTATGTTTGTTTGTATGTGTGTATTTGTGTGTTTGTTTGTGTGTGTGCGCTTGTGTGTGTGTTTCTGTGTTTGTTTGTGTGTGTGTATGTGTATGTGTGTATGTGTGTATTTGTGTGTATGTTTCTGTGTGTTTGTATTTCTGTGTGTGTATGTATAGTATATATATATATGTGTATGTGGTTGAGTGTTTGTGTGGATGAGTTTTTTTGGATTGTGTGTGGTATAGGTTTGTATGAATGCAAAATAATGCAAACACATAATCACGGTAGATATGAATGTATGTGCAAATGAGTGTGTCTGTGAGAGTGTTAGCCTTTGTTGTGATGCATTGTGGGTGTGTTTCTAGGCATGCCATGTTGCGGGTGAAGTGTCTGGTGTGTTGATCGTTGGTCGCTTGTTGCTTTCCAGTGGATGCTGCACCGAGCCTGCGCTTGCCGCTCATTCGACCGACGTGACTTTGCAGGAGGTCGTTCTGCCAAGTTCAGGACGTACAACCACCCACACTGATTTTATCTCACATCCTGCAGCCTTCTGTGTTGCCCATCTGCTTCGTAAACTCCCAATGACGACTTCAAGCCAGATCCTTTGCTCCGAACATACCAGCTTTGGGCCACCCACCTGTTTGAGCCACGATTGATAATCTACATGTACTTCCAACAATGGCAGCCGATCCGCGGATTTCCTTCAGCCCCCTTCAATATTGTTCAGCCAGATGCTGACTCAGCGGAGCACTCCACAGAGGACGAAAACAGGCGCGGCATGAGATTTTTGTTCGGAGGTCTCGAAGCTTCGTGGTTGCTTCAAGTAGAAGGAGACAAGGAGGGAAGGAGGCAAACCAATACTTGCTAGAATTCTGCATCTTTGTCGTTTCTTTTTAGCTGGAATCCGGAAAGTCACCCCTAGCATTGCCCTCTGGCCTGATGGGTCGCCTATGCCAACATCCTCAACGATTGCCTTTGGCTGTGTTCTGTTGTCCCCCAGCCCTACGGCCTTGTCCACACGTTTTTCCGACCATGTCACCCAAGCTCATCGCATATGCTCGAGCGCCGCAATCATTTGCCATCTTGCGTGCCGTTTGACTTGCTCTCCCGGCGCAGGAAGGCTGAAGATGGCACCCCAGAGAACGTGCAACTGGACACTCTCCTCGACACCATTCAAGTCTCCCGCGAGAAGTGGCGCACCGAGGGCATCCGAGCCAGCAGCCAGGGCCTCAAATTGCCAGATGGACTCGGAAAGCGCGATCTTTGTGCGCTGGAAGGCTTGCTGCGGGTTTCGCGTGTCAAGCAGTCACACTGTGGCCACATTTCGTCCAAATGACAGGTTTGATGTTGCCTGCTTTTTTTGGGGCAGAGAACGGCCCAAGTCAGGGTGCCGCAGTCAACACCAAGGACGCGGTCTT